TGGGACACACAACTGCTGCCTCCTGTTGAGATCACACACATCACTTCAAAGAAAACACACAAGACGGATGGTCATTTGCATGACATACATATTTATGAGGCCTCCTTCTCCATCTAGACTCAATACAGATCTTGCAAAACTCCCAGGCAGCGCTGACACAAAGTCACGCGTGATACAGATCACAGGAGCCACCGAGCCACGTCTTTTTTCGCGGGGCCTATATGGGTGACGTGCTGTACTAGAATGCATAACAGGGTTTACTCAAGAACACACCGAATCAGCGATCCGCCGCTGAAGTGCATTACCATTTTGATGGGTGCGGTGATGAGGATGGTGATTACAATGATGGTGCTGTTTATGGTGATTGCTCTCGGGTGTAATCCCACAGGCCCCTGCTCGACGTGCGTGAGTGGCAGGATGGGCAGGAGGTGGTCAAGAGCTATTCAAGGGGTGCTGGTTGGGGATTTAGATAGGACAGGGGCGGATGGAGGTCATAATAGCGATGCGTGCCTAAGATCTCATCAGTTATTTACATCCATACAGCCATAGGGATTTCCAGGCGCATCTATGATTCACATTCAGCAAGTTATGCAAATACATAAATAGCATCAGTATGTGAACTTGGGAAATGATGTAGGATATGTGGAAAAGCCCTGTAGTCCGTAACAAAATGATAAATCTAAAGTAATCTAAATCTAATCTAAAATGATATCTTAGTCCATGGGTTTCCACACTGGGGGCCACAAGGGGGTCCTGCAATGGTAAAGTTGTTAAAACTATATATAATATAACTATATAATACAATAATACAATAATATATTAATAAATTAATACATTAATACATTGTTTAATAATATTTAGTAATAATCAACCAATTTCATCGACAACTTCAAACTTTTCTAGGGCCATAGACAACTGTTTGAACTGGATGGCCTCCACCCAAACAAACTTGGTGCAAGAGTGCTAAAGGACAATATCTACTTCTCCCTCCGTCATCCTTCAGCAGAGTGTGCCAATCCACTCAACCTGAATGGCACACACACACCTGGACAAAGTATGAGTGACCACAGGACTTCATATCAGCTAATGATTAATAATAATTAATCATGTAATAATATTTAGTAATAAAACAATTTAAAAACAACAACAACAACAATATTAAGACAAATTATTATTATGATTATTATATTGTTTTCTAATAAAATATGAATATTAATAAATAAATATTTTCATCATATGAATAAAACCATTAAATAATAACAACAACAACATTAATATTAATATTAGTGGATTATTATCAATATTAATAAAACAATATATTAATAAATTAATCATGTAATACAATTTTGTAATAAAACAATTTAACAACAGTAACAACAGCAAAAATATTAAGAAGATGAATTATTATATACATTAGATATCAGTAAGTAGAATGAAATGAAACATTAATAAAGACTTGTCAGAACTCATGAGATTATTCACAATTATGTTTTTTTATTGACAATATTTAGGAAAAATATTAAATGTACTATATATACACACATATACAAAAGCAGCATCATATTATTTGGGGGCTCATTAAAAGTGGGATCCAAAAGTTTAAAAACCTACAGTGACCAGTGTCAAGATTTCAGTGTTACTTTAGTACAGCAGCTTTCTTTTAAATGTCTGGCAACAGGTACATCTAACAGTGCGCAATCTAATAGTGCCTTTAATAAAGCACACTTCTGTTATCCAGCTTTTTTATTTCTAATCAGAGCATTCAACATGAAAGGCTTTATTACACAGGGACCAGCCCACTGATATGTGAAGGGCAAACATGTGCTGGATGTATGAAAGGAGTTGGCATAATGAGGCTTGCACACAGCCCGGGCTTGTCTGAAATTGCAAAGAAATAACCCTCACATCCTCACAATGAAATCTCAAGGCTGCAAATATAATGCCTTAATTGCTTGTGTGATCAGAACAGAGCAATATTTTCACTGGAAAGCTCGAAATGAATAAATTGTGCCTTTTCTTCTTGAGAAAAAAAAATGCAAGTGGGTTTGATTTCACGGTACAATAATATGCCATTTTAGTGGAGGGTACTGTATTATTTCAAGTTCTTTTCTCTGGTGAGGTTAGAAGTCGCTGAAAGTATTTCTGTTGTGAATTAATTCATGACAAAATAATATGGGAGTTAGTCTACAGAGATTACAGGAGAACATTATCTAATTTATACTATGTTTTAAGAAGTTTTTATGCCACAAAAGGTGCAGAATTGGCACTAAGCACAAAATAGTGCTGGTAATGTTTGCTAGTATTTATTTTTCTGACATTTTCTGACTATTATTTCATATACCAGACTTTAAATACGTCAACTACTCAACATTTTATCCAAAGAACCAAAGCCAATACCTTTCAATTGTGCAAGGATGTTTTACAAGTGTAGCTAGACGGGTCTTCAGAGAGAGGAATGAGAGTCTCCAAACATTACTAGCATTGATTTACCCAGCCTCCTCACACTGAGTGTCTCACAGACATACACAGGTTTATTAATCAAATCTACCATGAAAACCCCAGCACTGCGTCGTACAGATGCTCAGTTCTGCTCGGTGAAACCCTGCATCAGCATCTCTGATATTAATGTAGCTTTTATTAAAGCAGCACATGAAGCCATCAACATTTTGAGGCTGTGATGAGCCAGCCGTCTGTACGACGCGAGAACCCGTTGTGTATGAATAAAAGTAATGGCTAATTTTTGTGATGGATTGGGCCGGAGTGCCACCTGCACAGTCTTCCAGGCCGTTCCAGGAGGGACGGGAATGGCTGTCTGAACTAAATCCATCATCGGGTAAAACACAGGTGGCCTTTTACTGCTGAGCTTGGATTTGGCAAACATGAAGAATGTAATCAAATACAAATTACACACTATTATATGTTGCATACTGTAGTGTCAATTAAATCATTACCAAGACAGATTCCCAAGGTGTAACAGTTCCTCAGGCTCTGACTTTATGGCATTTTCCTGACTTCCCCCTCCGTCTCTCAATTTGCATTCATTGCGGTGGCTCTGGATTTTGTCCTCAGGAACATTTCCTCAGTCATCTTCACACACAGTCATTTTCCTCCAGCTTACTGTAATGTCCTTTTAAATATTTCAGTTTTTCTCTCCAACTTTTAGCACCTGCTCTTTAAATGGTCTAATAATGTCACTCCTGAGCTTTAACTCAATAACCCTCCAGCCTCTCCAAACTAGAATATGAAAAATTGTATTTCATATATTGTTTTATTATTTTGAATGTTGAATGTTGAGGTGAGATTTTGATTAAAATGAACAGTAAAGACATATAGGGCCAGATTTACTAACCGCATGCGCCAGCGCAAACCGTCTTTTGGCATTAAAATAGTATTGTGAGGATTTACTAAAGACGCGCAGCAAAGAATTAGCGCTGAAAAGGCATGGGCACAGTTATTTTTGCGCCTGACCTTATTGAATATGCATTTGTAAGAGTTTCCCTTTCAGACGCAAAATTTATGGGAGGAGAGTATTAAAATGAATCACGCAACACGATTTATTAATGTTTGCGTTCGTCAAATTACTGGTATTTGCGCCATTATTTAATGCCCAAAAAATCATTTTGTTGCTGCTAGGAGGAGGCACTGCAGAGAACAGAGAGTGCGTGGTAGAAGGGAGAGGATTTTTTCCACATGTATTCATTTATTTGGAATGCCAGAAGAACACATTATCCGAATCCGAACATATGTACTTACTTCTGTACGTCTGTACTTACGCTAATTTGCGCGACGCTTGTTAGATTGCGTTGGTTATTAATGAGATGTTGCGTCTGTGTTCTTTAATTTGCATGTTGACAGTAAATAACCCGCAAAAATTTCCACACTCATCGGCGCCGTTATGGAATTGTGCTAATTTGCCTTGTTTAGTAAAACTGGCCCTTAGAATGTTATAAAAGTTTTATGTTTTAAGAAAAATGTTCTTTTAAAATTCCATTCATCAAAGTATCATGCTTTCCACAAAAATATTAAGCAGTACTATTGTTTTCAACATTGATAATAATAAGAAATGTTTCTTGAGCACAAAATAAGCATATCTGAATGATTTCTGAAGGATCATGCTACATTGAAGACTCAAGTAATGATGGCTGAAAAGCCATTTTTCGTTTCCAATTTTCGTCATTACAGCTTTGCCATCAGAGAAATTAAGGCCTGGTTTCACAGACAGGGTTTAGGTTAAGCCAGGATTAGGCCATAGTTCAATTAGGACATTTAAGTATATTTTATAAACGTGCCTTAGAAAAAACATTACTGGGGTGCATCTTGAGACAAATCAATAGTACCAACATATTTTAAGATATGTCAGTGCAAGTTTCTTACAGTTAAAACAGAACAGACATGCATTTTAGTCTGGGACTAGGCTTAAGCCTTGTCTGTGAAACCGGGGGTAATTGTTAAAAAATACATCAAAATATAAAATAATCACTTTATATTGTAATAATATTTCACAATATTACTATTTTACTGTATTTTTGATCAAATAAATGCAGCCTTGGTGAGCATAAGAGACTTCTTTCAAAAATATATATTAAAAAAACAGTAGTATATACAAGGTTGTTAAAGCTGAGAATTGAGGGGGGGCTATATTAGATGTACTTCAAGTCTTTACATTCATATTTTTACATCCTGTTAAATTGTAGTATCTGTGAAATCTTTTATAATGTTAACTTTATAGTTAATTCCACCCAAATGCCATTTGACAATCACTCAGTGTCGTACAAAATGGCCTTTCTTGAATTTACCATTCCCCTTTTAATCTTCATCTCCCAGAAATTGTACAGAAAAAGTCCAGCACTAGAGTTAATATGACAAATGTGTACAGATAACCGCTGTCTCCTGATAAGTCATGGACAGAACTGCAAAAGAGTTCAACTTTTCCACTGAAAGGTTCTGGCTTTGTGCCTAAGATGTGAATGAAGTTGTACATTGGACATTAAAAGTCCTACCTGCTCTTTCACAGAGGCCAGAATGGCAGAGGTGGTCTCAGTCTCAGATCCGTCGCCATTAGAAGCATTCAGTCCTGGGCTGAGCATGGTGGCGTTCTCTACTTCAGCAGGCTGTTCTGGAACTGGCATGACTTCTGGAGAGGACAAAACACATTTATCAGCAACTCTTCGTCCTTAGACTTCGACACAGGATCATCAGGGTTTAGACTTGCTGTGATCACTGAATGATATTTGAGAGAATGCAAGAAAACATGTGTAATGATCCTAAAACAGAACGATTCATTCACAAACAAGACTCATCTGGTTCTCAAATTCAACCGATGGCCTAAACCTTGCATTTAATGTTTTATTACAGTATGTGTTGTTATTTTAACACATTACATGCTTGATAATTACTTAAAAGGAATAGTTCACCCAAACATGAAAATTTGATGAAATTGTACTTATATTCAGGCTATCCAAGATGTATATTAACTGGTTTCTGCATCTGAAAAGATTTGGATAAAATTATGATTACATAATCTACTCGCTAATGAATCCTCTGCACTGAATGGGTGCCGTCAGAATGATTGTTCAAACCGCTAATAAAAACAACACAAAAATCCACATGACTCCAGTCAATCAGTTAACATTATGTTAAGTAAAAAGCTGCTTTGTAATAAACAAATCCATCATTTTAACTTCAAACCATTACTTCCAAGTCCTCTTTCCATAATATTGCTCATTTTGTCTGAATCAAATGTGAAATATGTACAGATCAAGCACCTTTTAAAAGCAAAAAGTGTCCAAACAGTTCTAAACAAATATATCGGTGGATTTATTCACTATTTACTAACTTTTTTCACTAGAAGAAGGGTTACTACGGATTATGAACTCATATTTTGGCCAGAAATGATGGTTTAAAGATAAAATGCCTTAATAATGGATTTGTTTCTTGCAAACACACAGTTTTTCACTTCGCAATTTTTCGTTTTTAATTCAAAAATTATAAATATACATTCTTTTGATCATGAGTCAACCAGGTATGAGGGTTTATGAATATTGAGAGCTTGCACCTACCTGACTTCGTTGGATCTAAATACAACAAGCAATCAACACATTTTAGATTTATAGCAGTAAAATCCACCAAAAGCAGCTAGTCAGACATTTTCAGTCAAGTCTAATGCCTCAGTTATCTCATAAACCTCCACGGTCTATTTACAGTAGCAAATGAGCAAATGTCAGGATGTGCAAACACATGATTGATGCAACCTATGAAGAATCTGTATTGATTAGAAAGAGATTCCAAATAATAACTGAGCTGGGCATTAGCTGGACTCAGATCAAGATAAATGGTTATGCAGGACAATCTCTGGATATTTTGTCACACTCAGTGGCGGCTGCGGCCGAGCTTGCCAACTTTGTTCCCTTGTTAATAAAGATGACTAGCCTCATCTAACACGACAGCGTGCCTCCGCCTGGCGTTCTGGAAATCACATTATGCCTCCTTAAACCACCATTTCCACATTTGTTTACCTTCCTCCACTCTTGCCTTCACACATGCTCACATAATTCATCCAAAAGCTTCTTCAATGCACTTACAGGAATAAAAGACTTGTAGAAATAAGTCATAAGTTCAGGCAAAAGCAACCACTTGACTGATACAATATGCCGAGATGTGTTGTAGGTGCTACACTCAGATCTGAAAGGGAAATGTATAATCCAACCTAACTATAATGCGCTAACATTGTTAATGTTCCCATGAAGTTATAATAATAATAGTAATAAGTCAACAATAAAAACGTCATTTTGGAATGTTGGTCATTTGAACATTAGAGAAAACATTGAAGGAACATTCCATTGTATAGTTTAGCAAACATTATGGGAATGTCTAAAACCAGTAAGTAGAAACGTTTAAAACTTAACTTTGAACAAACAAGAAGTCCTATTAACATTCCTGGAAGAATGTTTGTTCATAACTTTGAAAGAACCTTTCCAGAACATTCTTTCCAAAGTTCTGAGAATGTTCCCTGTTAGTTGGGATAAACCTTAGTCAGGGTAGATGCCATATTTAATTTCTTGCAAATGAAAACATAAGGTGCATCCCAAATTGCGTACTTATGCACTATTCTTTAAACTAGGTATGTACTGTATAAAGTTACTAGATCACATAATTTTCAAAACTCAACTTTACAGACTGCTTTAAGGAGTTTTTGTATACTGAAAGTTTTTTGGAAAGTTTTGTCAGCTAAACTATTGGCATGATGTTAAACTGCAGTACAAATCCACTGAACGCACTGTACTTCTATCCCTCACAGCCTCATTTTTATTCATGTCAAAAATTAAATATGGTGCTACCTTGACTAAGGTCTATGGTGAAAAAAATATCTGCCACAACTTTTGTGCTGATTGGAAGACCGAACTGACTGGCGCTACCCTTCCTGCCATCTCTCTTCAGCTGGTCAAAAGAAAGATTGGCTCAGTCTGCAGAATTAACTGCCTTAGTCTTTATCCTCTTGAGTCAAACGTGACTCAGTCAAACGTTCCCTGATGGAAGCCTGGGTAAAAAGATAAATAAACAACTAAATGTCACCACAGGGATGTTCTGTACCAGAAAAGGTTATAACGCAACAAAATATCTGTATTTAAAAGACTTATTTTCTCATTAACTATAATTTGGATATCATTTACTCACTCTCAACCTACTCTACATCTACAATTGCTCTCCAAATACACTCAAAGCTCCAGTTTTAATGAAGATATGATATTTCTTGCTGACCAAGCTGATTGGTGGTCCCCACGAGTGAACTGTCCAATGGTGTTTTGTTATTTTTTAAACTTGATTGACAAATGTTTTTTGTTCTTTTTATATTTACTATTTTATTGTTTTACTTAACTACATTTTAAAACATTATTAATTTATTTTTCAAGTAAAAATGTTATTAATATGTTATTATAAATGTATTAATATATATATATATATAAACATGTGATGTTAATAAACAGTACATTTAGGAAACAGTCCATTTAAAAAGTGATGTATGTATTTATGATATACAGTATGCTATAAATATGATAAGATAATGAATTACCATAATAATGACAATGAATAAGGGTTGGGACTATCAAGCTCCTTGATATCCACCTAGCTCTCTTGAGAGAAGCTTTTGAGAGAACTAGAAACATCTGATTCAAGAACGAATCAATCTTTTACAGTGAATCATTTGATCCCATTTTTAAAATCGAAATGATTTGTAAGAGAATCAGTCTGAGCTAGTTCTTGAATTTGACTCAGTGATGCATTTGATTCAGTTTCAATCGTAACAACTCACTGAAGTTGAGGATTTTGTTATTATTAAGCTATCATATGACTTGGAATTTTGCACACATATGAACTACTTTTAAGACATTTTATGGTAAGTTTGAGTCTTTTTAGAATCTTAAAAGTTGCAGCCTCCATTCATTGTATTTTTATGTAAAACAGTGATTCAAAAGATCTCCTTTTGTGTAATAAAACAAATTTATTCAGGTTTGGAAGGACATCAGGCTGAGCAAATGATTCATTTCGGAATGAACTATTGCTTTAACACAAGTATACTGTATTTTTGAGCTAGATGCTAGTCTAGCTGTTTTTTACACCTCCTTTTCCATCTTGGCTCAGCAGATTTTTTTTTCATGCAAACAAATGTGTGCTGCTGGGTAATGCGTTGTTGCATTTTTCAATGATATAGCTCATTTCATTCACTGTGGTTTGCCCTGGTAAAGGTAATGCTACCATCTTCTAAACCCTGGGTACACTATGAGAGTGGGCAAATGGTGCAGTTAAATATCTCTGAGGGCCTCTGGAGTGGATTGCCCTGTGTCGACCTTATTCTGTAAACAGTTCTCTCTTCTCATACATTAAGCACTAAAACGCACTTTATCCAATTAGACCTCACTCTTAAAGGTCATTTCTGAGTGTAAACACAAGGATAAAAGATACAAATGATCTATTGAAACACTTACAGGCTTGGTGTGGCTTCTTTAAAGCGATCTGATCTAATAATCACTCATTCAGCTACACACACAAGCACAGTTTTTGTATACTTTTAATAGAAATGTTTTGTTAAAATACTTTCTCTCATCTTATTTGAATGTGCAGAGACAATTAGCACTTGACTAGGCTAATCATTACCTAACCAGCCAAGACAACAGTCTTGAAAGAGACTAGACAAAAGGGATAGTGGTCATAAATGTTGTCAGTGTTCCAAGAGCTAACTATGCTAAGTGGCTGCTCTTTATCTGTAAATGGAAGCGAGTGAACGAGCCCTTCTAAAAATGATCATCTCCCACCGTCTCTCTCATCAGGGGTCTCAGATGATGCAACATGCTACATGACAGCAGATCGAATGAGGTTCATGGGCCGCAGCTACTGATTGCATCTAACAAGCTGCTTGATGCCTCATTATGAATGCAGACTGACAAGATACATCCATCAGCCCTCCCACCCAAATAACTCAACCATGTTCAGGGAAAGCCAGAGACCGGAGATCATTTATTTAAAACAAACTCGTCAACCTCATAATGTCAGTTTAATGGGGGTATATGCTGTATATGAGAGAGGAATAAGGAAATAAGAAGAAATAAGGAAACAACTTTTTAAGGATGAATCTAAAAAGACAAGGTTGACAAGACAATCAAGACTGATAAGTTAAACAATGTTAAACTTTAGAAACTGATGTGGCTTTATAGCATGACAAGCACAAAAAAAGAGAGCCTCAAAAGAGAAAGTCACACATGGAGAGACAGAACATGGGAAAATGAGACAGTGAAACAGGGAGAGGGGCTGGAAAAGTTGACAGAAGGTGCAGACAGACCCGTTGTCACCCTGGCTAAAATAAGGCTGCCAGTTGTAACTGTCTATGTGCCTCTGTCTCATCAGCGCTTGGCACTTTTACTGGCAAACAAGCCTCTGTTGCTTCAGCCTGAACCCAAGAGCAGTTTGGCAGGCCAGTGAATAGGAACTGATTGAGCCTTGGAGTTGTTATCCATCCTCTGTCTGAAGGCCCAACCTGGCTGGAAAAAAGCTAGAAAACGCTGGAACATGGGCGGCGGGCTTATGTGAGAGACAAGGCTTCTGGTATATGTCTTCTGGAGTTAAGTAAAGTTGGTTTAT